CTATCCAACAATCAGAAATTTCCCATCATCCTCCCAGCGAGCTGTGGTCTATCCAAACTACTTGTCCAAGACATCCACGAGAGGAGGTGTTTCCACTCAGGGGGGATAAACTATATCCTCCAACATCTCCGACAAGAATATCTTGTAATCCATGCGAGAAAAATTGCTCGCCAGGTCGTGAAGGCATGCGCCACATGCAAGATCTTCCACGCAGAAGCAGCAAGCCTGCCGACCCCCCCATTGCCAGCATTTAGAATCGAGGAAGCTCCTCCGTTCTACCACTCAGGGTGCGACTTCACGGGTCCGATAAGATATAAGAAAGACTCCGGCGAGGTCGGAAAAGGATATATCCTCCTTTTCACCTGCGCAGTCACCCGAGCGGTCCACCTGGAGCTAACAACGGATCTATCGACAGTCGAAGTCCTAGGGGCATTACAAAAATTCATCAACCGATTCCCCTCAGTGAGGACTATAACCTCGGACAACGGTCTGTCTTTCCAGAGAGCATCCAAAGAACTGAAGCTAATTTACGAGAACGTCAAGAACGGGGAAATAAAGAAACAGTTATCAGACTTGATGATCTCCTGGAAATTCATCGTACCGATGGCACCGAACTTCGGAGCCTTCTACGAAAGGCAGGTCCAGACCATCAAGAGACCACTTCGAAAGATCCTAGGATCCGCGGTCCCTCACTTCAGAGACTTAGAGATAATCCTCAGCGGAATCGAAGTGATGGTTAACAGTCGACCGATAACTACGGTAGCTTCAGGAGCGGATAATATCGAAGCTCTTTCTCCGGCAGATCTCCTCTTCGGATATAGGGGGAGAACGGTCATTCCGGAACACTCATCGAAACCCAGGGAAGCGGCGGACGCAGGCAAGATCATATTCTCCAAGAGATGGAAATACCAACAGAGAATCCTCAGTTCTTACTGGAAGCGTTACCACGATGAGTACCTTCAATGCTTGAAAACAGCCCACAAGCAAACTCCGGTCGCGGCAAGACCCCTGAAAGTCGACGATGTGTGCCTACTCCAAGGAGAATCATACAATCGAGCCTTCTGGCCATTATGCCGAGTCATCTCATTCCCAGAGAATACCCCACCCGAGAAGGCCCGATCCTGTACAATCAAAACAGCCAAGGGCCAAGTACTCCATCGGCCCATCCATAAGCTATACCCATTAGAAGCATAGAACAAACCCCACCCCCGGCTCCCCGCGTCCTCAAAAGAAGAAACAAGAAAAATTCTTATCGTAGTTCGAACTTAATTGAACTAATTCAATTTATTGAGCTCTGGAGCTGGTCGCCTGGCGACGCTCGCGCGAAAGGGCGATGAGCGCCATTCCCTGTGCCAGATAGGTCTCGACCTCTTCTTCGCGAGTGAGCATGTCAGGATACACCTCTGAGTGCTCGTGGCCGGCGGGGCAACGGAATTTGTGCTCACCGGCGGCACGGAACGCCTCGACGGGAGCTGGAGGCCACAGGATGTCGGGAACATCCTTAGAGTCGACCATGAGTAGCTGCTCATCAATCGCGGATTGGCGCTCGATGAGGCACAGGTAGCGCTCAGCCAACCACGAAGGCGGCGGCGGACGGAAGAGGAGCCTCTGGAGCGCCAGGGCGTCGGCGGAGGGCCGCGGGCACTCCCCGTACAGGGAGTTACTTAGACGCCGGTACGGGGCTTGTTCGACAATGACCATGCAGCGCCATAGGTGCAGGCTCAGGCGTTGCACTTGCGAGACGGAGTATCCGGATAGGATTGGATAGAGCCGCATCAACTGGAAAGAAGGTGGTCATAGTCAAAGGACTAATAGAACAATGTTCCCCATCAGAGACAGCAATATCAAAGCGCACATCTAACAAAGCCTACCTCAGCTTCAAAGAGTCCCCTAGGGGAGCGTGGGTACGGTGTGCCAGGGCGGCGTTTACCATCCTTGTTCGGAGAAGGCATCCCTGGGATGTTCTCTTGTCTCAACGAAGGGAAAAAGTGAGCCTCGGAGCGCGCGGGACCGACGATCTCGACAGGCCACCAGGGGGCGACATGAAAATTTAAAATGATGCGCGGGAATGTTCCAGGAATTGTCAAACCCCACTCTGACAATTCGGCGGGGGACTGTCACGAACAGGACCAGGTCCGTTGCGTCATCATCAACCTCTTATTACTCCCACCACACGATTTCGACCATATTACACTCTATTCTAATCACATAACACATCCCGACACACACTCCCAGAGAGAGGCCAGGTAATCACCAAGGGTAATCTTACTATACAGTTAATCTAAGGGGTTCCTCTCCTTCCTTCCCATGTGTATATTCCATATTCATTATTCTTATGTCGTTCGTTATTTCCTAAGTTAAATCATCTCAATCAGAGATAAATAAATAAGACTCAGAGTCGGTAGCGCACTTGGGGATTCGCGCCGTCAGCGGCGGCGCGTATCTATAGCGAACTCTTCTCGGAACAGCTCTCTGGCCACGGAGGGCGCGACAGTCTCTCCAACAGCTGACTGTCAGTGGCGCTGTCAGTGGCCGGAACTGTGACGTCAGACGTCAGTAGCAATCTCGATACCGGTAAAGCCTGATCACGCTCAGCGCTTCCCCGATATTTCTAAGGACTCAGGGTTCAAATCCTTGATCCCGGTTTGCGAAAAGATAGGCCTGGGTCACGCCCCGCTATCTAGTTCATCCCCTACAAGTGCGCGCAGACTTAGAGTCATTTCTAGTGAATCCTCAGTGTCCTCATTGGAAGTGCTTCGAAGCTGTGCCACAGATATATTCCTTGAGAAGCGATGGACTAAGTAAGACTACGTCTGGAGCTGACTTCCTTATTTTCAACGACGGATGCAGCGATCGGATTAATTCTCGACTATCGACTTGATTATCGCCATGTGTGACGCGCCGATTATCTACATGGACGGAACATTCAGGGTGGTACCCACCCTGTTTACGCAGCTATACTACACGCTTCACGGTGAATTCAAAGGCGCGATAATTCCCTTTGCATACTTCCTCTTGCCGGATAAGCGTAAAGAGACTTATATTAGGATGTTCGATCTCCTAACGAAGAAAGCCATCGAAATCGGCAGGGCTTTTTGCCCCCAAACAATTCAAGTGTATTACGAGGTTGCGACCCTGGGAGCCATCGGAGAAATGTTCCCGGTGACCGATAGAACAGGTTGTCTGTTCTACTTCAGCCAATGTTTGAGGCGAAAGGTCCAGAACCTCGGACTGGTCACTCATTACGCCGACCCCAGTGTGAGACGCTTCCTGAAATCTATAGCAGCGATGGCTTTGGTTCCTGCGGATCGTATGAGAGATGCATGGCTCGAGTTCAATGCTGAGGCGCCAGGTCCTGACAACCCAGCCTATCAGCGACTAGAGGAGTTCAAGCTCTATTTCATCAGGACTTGGCTTGAAAATGCGTCTGTCTCCCCCTGTGCGTCTGGCCCGCGAACTACGAACCATTTGGAAGGATGGCACCATGCGCTGAATCAGACCGTGAAAAAGCGCCACTTGAATTCGTTCGAGATGGTTGCGCACCTACAGAAGCAGGAAGAGAAGTTCAGACTCAACATGATGATGCTCCGCATGGGGAAACCTGCCCCCAGCCAAAGAAAAACTATAGGGTTCTCAATGAGAATTTGGTAGAATATGCGAGAGAATTCGAGGCCAATGAGATAGACCTGAGGGATTACCTGCGCCGAGTGGCTTACGGATTGCCGTAGGCTTGAGAGAAACCTCATGCTTCGATACCCTCATCCGGGTACATCTCTGCCCTGAGCGCCGTCCCCCGCTTCGAATATCTAATATTCGACAATATCATGAGAAGAATTGTTGTAATTTTGAGGAACATAAGGACACCGGCTGATCTCTGAGATGGCGGGTTGCAGACTGTTGTTTTTATTCAAGACGTGGTAGTCGGTGATTACAAGTTGTGTTCTACCGCACGCGCGACATTCGAATGTGTGTAGCTTCACTCTTATATTGTTGTACTAGAAACCTCACAATTATTTACAACGCTCCCTCCGAATTGATAGGTTTCAGGCCGATCCGATCGCACAAGAATCGGAATCTGACTCTTTCTAACGCTTTGCTGAGTATATCAGCGGGCTGGTTCTTCCCGTCTATGTATATTATGTTCTACAGTCAGAAGACCTTCTAAAAACTTCTCCCTTACGAAGAGATGACGCACCTCTTTGTGCCTAGATCTTAGGTTTTCCGCTAATTTAACGGCACTCGCATTGTCCACAAATAGAGTGACAGGCTGGTTATCGCCCACAAGTTCGATTAATGGACGCCTCAGCCACAACGATTCTTTGGCACCTTCACTAGCCGCTACAATCTCAGCTTCCGTGGTTGGTAAAGCAACCGACCTCTGTAGCTGACTGTTCCAAGAGACAGCCCCTCCACTGTACATTGCTACTAACCCAGTGGTTGAACGTCGGGTCTTTGGTTCTCCAGCGAAATCTGCATCTGTGTACACCTCCAGAGGTGTAGTTGAATCGTAGATTATTTCGTGGTCAGCGGTTCCCTTCAAGTATTCCATTATTCGAAGCACCGAGGTCCAGTCGGCTTGAGTTGGATTTTCCATTGATCTCGCCGCTCGGAACACCGCGAACGCTATGTCTGGTCGTGTGGCCGTAGCAAGGTAAAGAAGGCACCCGACTGCCTCCCTGTATGGTGTATTCGGCGACACAGATCTCTTGTTGTCACTTTCTTCTCTGCCCGCTGGGGTCGAGACCGAGTTGCACGAACCCATTCCGAATCTTTCGAGAGTTTTCTCGATATATCTCTGCTGACTGATTCCGATGCTGTTCCCTACACCCCGTCGGATATGGATGCATAGGTAGCTTGTGAGGTCTCCTACAGTTATTTTGAATTCTTGCTTGAGAGCATCGAGGAACTCGAGATTTTTCTGCTCACAGTCTCCAACCAGCAGGCCATCGTCTACATATACAGCAACGAAAATTGACGCTCCGTCCTGATGTCGATAAAATAGGCACGGATCTGCCTTGCTACATTCAAATCCCCGGCCTGACATGAACTTTGAGAACCGAAGATTCCAGCACCTAGGTCCCCGGCGCAAACCGTAGAGACCGCGCTTTAGCTTACAGACTCTACCCGTGCGATCGTCGAAGCCCTGAGGCTGTTCCATGTACACCTCATCTGAGAGAGATCCGTATAGGAAAGCGGTTTTCACATCGAACGGCATAAGATTCATCGGTACTTCGGTCTTTGGCGGGCCAACGCTCAAGTCGCCAAAATGGCGTCTAAAATAGCGCTTTCTGGCGGGCGATTCAGCGGCGTTTGAATGTCGCTACAGATAAGACGCCACGTATCCCCTGGTAAAGATTACTGGGAATTGATGATCATTTCTAGCGAAAGTACTGGAGAGCATGCAAGAATGAGTACAGAAATGTAATCTGGATGAAGAAGTGCTCAAATCCGCGTAAGGATTCGGCGCCGCGCTAGAATGCTTACGCGGTCAAATCAAGTGAATCAAGTGAAAACACAGCAATATAAGTTTAGAATGGACCTTTCGAATTTATTGTGGCGATTGCTTGCTTGCTAAAAGAGAAAGTATCGCTTCGAAGGGATCCCTCGCCTTGAGGGAAGCACGCCAAAGGTGTTCCGCGAGGTACGAATCCACGGTGTGACGATGGGTCCCGTGTCGGTGGCGATTTTTGTCTTTGACCGACCTCCATTGCCTCTCGATCGACTGCGTGTGCGCTCCAGTAATGGGGTCGACGAAATTCTTCGAGTGGTTTACGGTCTGATGCTCGAACCCCCAATCGGCCAGTCTGAAATATGCCTTCCAGCAGTCGGAAATCACCCGCGTTCCGGGCAATACGTGCCTCTGCATGGCTGCTTTCAGAGTGGGAGCTGTTCGATCGGGTACTGTCATCATGAACGCTTCCCGAGTCTCCCGACAGATGCCTCCGAAAACCCATTGAGCGGGGAGAATCCTCCCACGTTGGTATTTCCGTTTGGAAAACAGGGTTTCATCTATCTCTACGGTGAGACCGACCCCGCCTATCGGCGCACGGTTCGACAGTTCCTCAACCACGATATCTCTCAGAGCGGAGTTCCAAGATCCTATAGCTTTGCTTGCGATTCCGAGCTCCTCCTCGACGTGTTTTCGGGCAGTTCTGCCGTGAGCCCACATGTGCAAAAAGAGCACTACTGTTCTAAGAGGCAAACGTGTCTGGCTCAACCATGTATGCTGCCTCAAGCCGATCTTTACGTTGCAATCCCCTTTACGACACCTGTGTCGAGCTGCTAGCGGCTCGAAAAGCATCAAATGTCCCTCAGAACAGAATCTTTGTCTTGGAATGATCCCGGCATCTTGAAGAAACTCCTTTGCTGCTTCTTCATGGCTGTACCCTTTGGGTACAGCTGGGTAAGGGGGCGTTTTCGGCCACGACTCCGATTTTCGAAATGGATTGCGTGGCGTAATGTCCCACTCTTTAGGAGCATATTGACGCACTCAGATCATCTCAATCGCTTTTCAAGTCCGAATGGTATGCGAAAGAAAAATTGAAGTGTGTTCGGACACCTGAGACCACCTGAAATCTTTGAACGGTCATTGCGCGAGAACGGAATAAGCTAGAGACTCGCGCTTGGTGGCGTTCGGAAGCTGGGGACAAGAGCTACAAAACCATGTCCCAATCACCGTCCTGAGATATTTTCTCCATGAGATACAGATCGATTTTCGTCTGGAAAAATCACTTTCTCGTGATTTTTCCGGAAAAAAATGTGATTACCAAGCTGGAATCGCTTGGGACAAGTTTTTTTGAGATCCCCACGTTCCTGCGAATGCGATTGCACCGGTTTGGTGTTGTCCTTTTTTGGTATTGTGTCGTTTCCGAGCGTTATCCATTAATAACCCTCGATTTGGGGACTATCATACTAGAAGCATGCCCTACCAATCGATCCCCGTAAGGAGAAGCCATCGCTGCGCTAACATCGCATCAATCAGTCTTCTCGGTTCATATTTATTCAGTCTTCATCGCTATCCTCTTCGATTACGGGCACATAAGCACCGCGATTGAAAAGCGAGCTGAGTATTGCCGCCGGTCGGACGATTGACGGGACTGAACTTGGACTTCGAGGATGGGGCTCTTCTCGCGATGGTACTTCAGCGTAAGCTTGCCATCTTCACTCATCATCTCGGCTAGATAAGAGAGTGCCTGAGACAGCTGATAAGTGCCTGTGCAGAGGACGGAATGCACGGAATACCTTTAGATCATCTTCATTCAGCTCCGGGAAGTCCTCGACCGAGTCGGAGTTCACTTCGATCCATGGACGCCTGACTGCATTCCAGTTGTTCGCTCGGACTTCCTCTCCCAGGGTATTCGGAACATTTCTGATCTCTTTCATGCGCTCCACCACTTCGAGGAACATGCTCTCATCGGACGTCAGACGTTTCCCGAAGCGGTTGTTCAAGTAACACGCGATCCGGAGCATCGTTCCGATCTTCGGGAGTAAATTATTGTCGACTCGATGGTCGAAGATCCTGTACTTCTGTTTGATGATGCCGTGAAGGGCTTCCAGAGCCCACCGAATTCTAGCCGTTTTCTGAGTTCAGATGGAACAAGACGATGCACAGCCGTTGAACCGCAAACGGAACA